AGCTTAAAAAAAATCTCATTTGTCTTATGGAGAGAAGGCTTTTCTCAGCCAGCATCAGCTTCTCCAAAACTTACGTCCCTATTAAAAATAATTAAATTTATTTTTGTTATGGTTGCAAAGACCATCTTCTAAACATGAACTGAGTGTAAACCAATTAACCAATATCTTCTTAAATCTGCACAGATAGTTCCATTTCTTCTGACTGGACTTTATTTTCACAACGTGCTTTAGAGATAAAACTTCTCCTTTTTAAAATTCTGTGATTGCCAAGAAACTGAAAGGGCTCAACTTCATGCTGCAGCAGACTAGCACAGCTGTGCACAGAAGCACAGGAAGGCACTGAGGAAAACTAAGAATTGGAGTCTGGCTAGAAAAAAAGACTTCATATACAACCAACCCACTTATTCTGCCAGACAGATGACAAAAAAGCTATGTACGCCAATCCCCACACACATTTGCAGTAAGATACTTTGGAGTAGAAATGGGAGGATGTGGGACTTATAGATTTTAAGATAAGAACAGGAATGTTATACTAATGTATTAAAACCTGAACACCACAGGTCAAAGAATTTCATTGAGTGATTCATACATCAACCCCATAACTTCTGGCTGAGCTGGAGCATATCTTTTAGAAAAAAGTTCAGTCTGAACAAACCAGACAAAATATACCTCCTTCTTTCAAATAGTCAGAGGGATGATCCAAATATATTAATGGTCTATTAGCTAGAGGTCTATATGAAAAACAGAGATCCAAATCAAGGTTCAGAATAATATCTTTTTGAAGAACCCTAAGTGCCTCCTCTTTCCCAGAAATGCCCATATTTTTCAAGTCTTTTGCTAACAGACTTATTCCTTTATTAGGTGCATGATAAAATTTCATAGGCTCATGTACAACAAGATGGCTGTGAAGTGGAGAAAAAGATTAATGGAGTAAATTTTTTTCACAAAAATCTGCATGCTACTGAGTATTTGTCTAGATCAGTGTTTCCCAAATGGTGTTCTGCAGAACCCCAGGATTCCGCGAAGTGAAAATAAGGGATTCGCGAGAAAATTCCATTACGATAACATTTTATGATTTTAAAAAAATAATGAATATTTAAGCATTTATAAATTGTATTGAAAACAATTTTCATTTGTGTTTGCCATGATAAGTATTGCTGATAAGTATCTAGTGCCAGCTTAGCCAGAGAATGGGGATACTACTCAGCGCTGATGTCCATATATTAGACTGTTATTAGGGGTCTGCAAAATTCTTTTGAGTTTAAAAGGATTCTATGGCTAATTAAAATTAGGAAACACTGGTCTAGATGCAAAATTGCACCAATTTAAAGGGGTAGTTTTAAAACTGACTTAATTGAATTGCTACTAAAAGTTGTTTGGACACTTATTTCAGTTGAAACTCAGTTTATTTTAGTTTATATTAAGCGGATTAGAAACAATTTTAAGCTAAATCAAAATGAACCAAACAAAATGAGTATCTATATAGGATTTTCCAGGAGTTTAAATAAATCTGTTTAAAAATTAAAATAAAACCAGAGCTACCTGTATGCATATACAAGTCCTATGAGAAGTTTCTTGAAAGGTAGGAGTGGAAGAAACAATAAGGAATATATAAGGAAGGAGGTACTAAGGATGTTAAGTATCAGGTAATTGACTAATCAAATAGTCGATGCATTTTTGCAATAGTCAATGCATTCAATTAGTTGATAGGATGTTTTCACCTTTGGGCTGTTGCTACAATTCAAAGGTGAAAGTGCCAAAGCCTGGGGTCAGCCAGGGACTCCTCTGCTGATCCCGGGCTCCATGCGGTGCTGCCACTTTGAAACGCCACAGCAGCATTTCAAAGCATCAGCACCACATGGAGCCCAGAGTCAGCTGGGGAGTCCCCAGCTGATCCTGGCCTCCATGTACCACTTTGATATGCTGTGAAGAGCTGACATCAGGCTCCTCACGACATTCAAAGTGGCAGCACCGCACGGAGCAGCTGACCTTGGGCTCCATGCAGCATTGCCGCTTTGAAGTATTCCTCTTTTCTCCTCCCCCGGCTTGCTGCCTCTATCTGAGGATGGCAGCAAGGGTGGGGGGAAGCGACTAGTCAACTATCCTGTCGACTATCTGATAATCATTTGCTTATCGGATAGTCGACCAGTCCTTCACATCCCTAGGATGTACAGAATGCGATGTAGGAAAAGTAAGAGGAGATGGATGAAAATTAGTGGGAGAAAGGAAAATGGACACTGAAGACAACACTGGAAAAGACTAAATGCAACCTTATTATATGACAGAAGAAAAAAAAGGCATGTAGCAAAATAAGGAATGAACAAACGCAAGAGTGTTAGAATTTCTGATAATTTCACAACTCGATATTGTACACAAATTCAAAACAATACATTATTTTAAATTGGGGGAAGCACGGTCTGGGGGAGATGGCCCAAGTGTTTTTCACACTGGTTAGGCAGAATCCTTCAGCCTATAACTACCAATTGAGATTTTTAAGCTCTAGTTCTGAGAGTTTTCAAATATTGAATTACATCTAATTATTCAGCATTATAAATCACAAATACAGACTGTCTAGAAGATTTTTAAATGTCAACAGAGAACATGCATGCAAAATTAGAAAAAATTTAGTTTCTAAAATACGTGGATGGTCACGTCAGAAAAGTTTATAAAATAATCTAGTTACATTAAGCACAGTTTCTTCAGAGCTCGTTTCTATTACTGTAAGAATATGATTGTAGAAACAAAACAAAGAACTTACAAATGCTAGTTTAGGGATATTCATCTTTGCCCACTAACAGAAAAAAAACTTTCACTTTTGAAGCACATCTAATTGACAATATATTGCATGTGATTCTATATGTCCAATACAAAAAGGGGTAGTTTACATTTTGTCAGGAAGAGTTAGAGATGAATAAATTGCTCATATGTGGCAAAACCAATACTCTCTAAATAAGTAATTGAATAGCCACTAAAAAGTGCCATTACAACCTTTGGCCCTTACCATTCCACACATTACAAAAAAATCATTTTAAGGAAACTGCATAAGGCACAGAGGGAGCAAGAAACTCTAAAAATTAACATACTTTTTTTTCACATGACAAAATTACGATTTCAAGTCCATTATCTTAGGCCCTTCAAAAGGTAGTGCTAGATACAATTAGAAAGCTTAGAATATTCCTTTGGCAATGGTATAAAGCTCCCATTTCTAGTCTTGTAGGCTCTTAATATATGAGACATAAAAATGCGATTTTTCATTCCTAGAAAGAAGTTATTGTTGCAAGACTGAATCTTGGCAGCCCTAAACCTCAAAAACAATAGTTGTGTGGGAAGGCAGAAGAGACTTTCCTATTTGGGGAATGAGAAAATATTTCTCTGGTAGATTGACATTTTAAAAAATATAATGGGTGTTTGAGCTGCTCACGGGTTTGGAGAGCTAAATAATGTGTAAGCAGAGATTAGGTGTAGCAGTGAAAGATGCATGATAAATTTATGACATGGTTTTATAGTTTATCACATACCTCTCCATACTTATGTACACACATACACACACACAAAGACCATTGCTTCATTTTATTGATTTAAAGGAGATTAATAAGAAAATGTCTAAATATTAAATCTGTGAACAACTAGATATTATGTTAGCTATTTAAGTAGGTATAACAGGGTGGGCAAATCCTGGCCTGCAGGTGGGATCCAGTCCACAGGGTTAGTCTTTCGCATGCCCCCACCTCTATATTTACCTACACCTCCGTAGGTATCAGGTGATTGTAGCTCTTGTTAGCGGCCAATGGGAACGGCGGAAAGTGGTGTCCCGATCCGCACCACTTCCCGCTGCTCCCAGTGGCTAAAAATGGCTATCTGCAGCCAATGAGAGCTGCAATTTCTCAATACCCAAGGAGGTACAGCAGCAGGATTTCACCAGGGACTAACCCTTAAGGGCCTCAGTTTGTTTTTAATTGCCAGTCCCTGAGCTATGGACTCACATGTATTAACATATTCATTTCAAAGCCTCTTCTGCCACACAACTGATTTATCCTTTATTTTCTGGCCTGACAGCTTTATAGATATTGACACATTATGACTCTCTTACAAGTTTCACATTAATTTAACATCTAAACACATAAAAACCCAATTTTTAGCTTGATGGGTAAGGTAACTTTCGCAATGTGGAGTTATAAAGTTTATCATCTAGATTAGCACCAATAAAAAATTGATAAACTAAAGAAAGTACTGAATTAATACAAAAATCACCCACCTAAAACACTGAATGACATACAAGATACAGAAAATTAAGATTCTGTCTATACTATGAATTCAACTATGTCAACAGACCAGATTATGTATAAATTAAATTATCTTCAGTCTTTCAGTATAGATAAGATCAGACAGACAATGATATCTCTGAACTGAACTAAAGGCTCAAGGCTAATGCTATTTTAAGCATTTTGGGGGATAACCCCGTAGATCCCTGCAACACTCCTTTATAGTGTAGATAGGATAGATGAATTTACCCAATACAACTAGGTGTCACTACTAAATCATATCATTTCATTCATTTTTTAGGAAGCTATAGGTTCCAATAACAGTAAAGTCTTAGAGCTAGATTATACATATTTTGTTTCGCACTAACTTAACTAAATGGATTTATTTACCCGAGTGCAAATCCTTAATGTAGAGACACTTAAATAAATTTAAATCACACTTATACCATATCTATGCATGATTTAAAACAATTTAAGTGTCTCTACAGTAGATATTTGAACCTGGAGTAAATAAATCCGTGTAGTCCCACCAATGGAAGATTTCTAATATTCACAAACCATTGCATAACTGAGATGGAAACCACTCATGTTATCAAACGGAGAAATAATTAATTAGGGTCAATTCAGTTAGCTCAAATTTAAAAAAATATTTATTCCATTTCTATCAATGGCTATATTAAAAAACTCAGAGAGGGAATTTGCTACCTGTAATACAAATTGAAGTTAAGAGAATCTTACCTTTATTTGATTTGGATGACTTGTTCTTGTTGGGTTTAAAACAAGAGCTTCTTGATTTATCTTCTCTGTCCTTAATAAATTTTTGTACATCATCCAAAGAAAGCTTCTGCAAAACAACTACAGGCTTAGCTCCTTTATTTAGATCTTCTACTAGCCCAATCTTCTCTACTTTGTCTTTTTGTTCACCCTTAACTTCAGTTTTCCTTGGCTCCTGAGTGACATTGCCATCTTTATCACGCTTTATTTTTGGAATGACAAAATGTTTCAATGCACCAGATCTTCCCCCCAACAAATAACTGGGAAACTCAGCCTTATTGTCAGTGTGTGGTTTATTACAATCCACTTTACTCTTACTACCATCTGTCCTTCGTTCATCCTTGCTGTTTGGTGATTTAAAGCCAGGTTTATCAAGTCTTGATTTACTAGAATCTCCTTTATTTTCTTGTTTAATACGAGGACTGTCTGGTCTTGATTTCTGTTCCCCAGAAGACAGCCTTTCTCTTGACTCACCAGACTCATGTCTATGTTTTCTTTCTAGTTTCTCAGTTTTTGAATTATCAGATTTAATCCCATGTTTAGAATCATGCTCATTTTTGCTTGAGGATCTCAAATATTCAGGTCTTCTGATCTTGGATGGATCGCCTTTATATCTCTCTGATTCGCCCCTGTCTTCAGATTTTTGTTTAAGGTTATCATGGTCACGCCTTGGAGTCTCGGGAATTGAACGTCCATCTGGTCTTTGTTTTGTTGGATCTGATCTGCTTTCAGATTTTACTCTGGAGGAGTCAGATTTAATTTCCTGTTTATGTTTAGATATATCAGATTTCTTCTCTGAGGATGGTTTACTAGAATCTCTTCTATTGTCATGCCTATGTTTTGGCATTTCAGGCCTGCCTTCATTCTTCTGTTTTGGTGTTTCAGGCCTGCTGCCTTCATTCTTCTGTCTTGGCGTTTCGGGCCTTTGTTTTATTTCCTGTTTGCCATTATTTTGTTTGCCCTCATTTTGTTTCAGTTCCATATGTCTACTCTCGTTTTGTTTTGTGTCCACTGGTTTGCTCTCATTTTGTTTCACATCCATTGGTCTGCTGTCTTGCTTATTTTCATGCTTAGCTTCTATCTGTTTGCTCTCGTTGTGTTTACTTTCTATCCATTTGCTTTCATTTTGTTGCACTTCTGTCTGTTTGCTCTCGTTTTGTTGAATATCTGTTTTTTGACCTTCAGAATCTGACTTTTTCCTAAGACTGTCAGGATGGTTTTCAGGTTTAAGTTTAAGAACTCCAATAGGGTCTTCTTGGGGAATAAATATAGATCCATCATTACACTGTTTTGTTTCTTCAGGCTTTTTGATGGTGTCTGGATCCTGAGTTACAGTGACCTGAGAGTCCACTCGTCCTGCTTGATGAAGATCAATACTAACCATCAATGCTGGCCGTGACCCATTTCCTGCAGAACCTGTCTCCTGAGAAGCTGGTTTATTTCCTCCGGTAGCACCCCCAGCCTCCAGTGGATAAGAATCTTGCTTTCGCTTTTTCAAAGGCTTATCTGCAGATTGAAAGGAAAAAAAATACACATGAAAGGTAAACTTCTAAGCAAAAGACCCAAAAAACCCTGTAAAAACAGTCCCCCCACTCAATCACAGGCAACTAACCTACCCTTCGAGATTAAGTGTTTGTCCATATACTATACATTTTCAGTATATTCAAAGACTATAATTAAGTGTTAAAAGAACATGAAAGTTATAACATGCAGAATTCATAAATGAGGAAATGTAAAAATTAGGGTGTTTCTCCACAATCACAACTGTCTTTTAAGCAGTGTGTAATACCTTTTTTACTGCAGGACTCAGTTTGATTCAGTGTATAAATAGGGTGGTAAAGAAAGCAGTGTTTTGTAGTGAACAAGGCATGGATTTTCTCTGTCTTGTTCACTGTCGTGTTTTGTTTGTGTGCAAACATCTTAAGGGACAAATACTGAATAGTGAGAATAAAAACAACATTATACTACCAGCTCTGGAGAAGTACAGTGGCAAAATAGATGACCACACTACAATTCATGTACACAAAGGGACAGTATTATGACTCTCCGAACCTGAAAACTTCCCTCACTCATCTGAACCTGAAAACTTCCCTCACTCATCTAATTTCAATGCCTTGATTGGACAATTAAAATGTCAATTTACAGTTCACAAAAACAATCAATACAGAGTAGAATCCAGATAATTCTGGATTTAAAACAAACAACACTTAGTCAGAGTGACATTATAGGTAGTCTATATAAAAATATTAAAGCATGTTTATCAATCATTAATCCTACTTCATTACTATCAGGCTTTCCAACAAGTTATTCTAAATGAACATTTTCTTGATGGGTCTCTGAAGCTAAACACTTAACTGCACTACAGCCCATACTTTCAGTTCACACAAATATTTTGTATTTGGCAAAACAAGAACTGAAATGTTGGGTCTTCTTTCTTTTTGTTGATTTTTTTAAAGGTTTAATATACCCAATTCTTTCCTGGATTCTCAGTTCTTTCAGTTTCATCTCTGTGTCAGAAGAAAAAAAACAAACAAGATAATAAGAGGAAAAAAGGTTAAAAAGAGTATCCTTCAAACTCTGAGCATAAGCAGAGAGAAGAGCTAAAACCATAAATTGATAATCTTCATGTAACTTACAAATCTCCTGGATGTGGTGTTCTGTACAATCTAATGGCATTGAGACCACCTGGAGATATATTAAGAAGTGTGCTTTACAGCTTCAGCTAACAGCCATGTGGCTTTGAGCTTATGCAGTACACGCTCATGCACTAAGCTGCACAGCTCCCAGTTTTGATCCTGTCCCCCTACAACCAGGTCTGCTGATGTTACATTCACAGAGGGAAAATTACAAACTCTGCAAGATTCTCACCTTGGAGAGTAAAAAGAACCTTCCCTTCAATTAATAAGAGCAACATGGTCAATAGCAATAAATGTGAACAGCAGATTTTTTTCCCCATATCTCTATGTTCACTTCTGTAGAACGAGGACTCTAATGACTTAAAAATACAGCATAACATGCAACATTTACAACTGCAGAAGGAAACAGCAAACAGGAATAAAACTCTACACAAAAACTTGGCTAAGTGCACATAAGGAACATTGAAAAAGTAAACAAAATTTTAGTAGTGGGAGAACTTTATTTTAAAATTTTGTTCTTGAGCAAAGTGTTTGGAATAGGATTCCCTAACAACAGCTGAAGACAAGAAATAATACTTTGTAAGTGTATGATGAGAAGATCACATAATTGGTTTTGTCTATGAACACATAATTGTCTATGAACACTCTGGATCCAAGCAGACATTTGTAGTCATCTTTCCTCTGATCAACCGACCCCCGACTCAGACTTTTAATTCAGGCCGAACAGGCAATAGCATATGAAATGAACATCCACTTGGGTATGGCCTTTTCATTAAAACCATTAGCCAGAAAATTAGTTTTAAAAAAAATAATGGTTTGGTTTTTTTAAATGCTTTAGACTGCTCCAAGTAAGAACTGCAAAAATATTTTCACATCCGGTATACAGAGAACAGCCTCCTCAAGATGGGCATCAAAGCATGAGACTAATGTGGGGAAGATGATGGAGTCATTAAGATGCTTTGATACCATCCAGAGAAGTAACAGGGGCATGAAGGTCATTCACTCGACAAGATAAAGTTCTTGATGCAATGAAAATGAATTAAAAAAATCTTAATAAGCTAAGTGATTGAAAAAAATCTTTTCCTTCAGTTTTGTCAGGACCAGAATAACTTTTCGTGACACAAAAGGCATTATAACAGTAGGCTGAAGAAGTTTTAAGCCCCTACAAACCAGAAAAGAATTTTCAGAGAAAGGGGTCTACACTTCAACTAGGTCACTATATCAATGTATTTGGGAAGGTTTAGTCTAAACTGGACTCAAACAAACAAAGACAACAGTCAAGCACTTTTTGCATGGAAAGGAACTGGCAATTCTTTTTCTAGGTATTGGATCTTTCACTAATGTAGAATGACCTGAAATTAAATCCCAACAACACAAGTTTCTTAAGGAAGAGGAGAGATCTTAACTTAACCTTATTAGTCTTATCCAGATATGGCTGATCTAGGATGTTGGCAAAAAATATTTCCCAATTTTTAAACACATTAACTAACCAACCTGCATTTGAATTAGGTGCAGAAATATTAGGGGAATGGGGAGAGAAAAGGATATGTATTCGCTCATTGAAAATTAGGACAGATTAGTCAGAAAAAAGTTGTGGGAGCTGTCAAACAGGAATGGGAACTGGTGTTGAAAGAGTCATTTATGACAGATGTCTTCTTGTAGAGGTTGATGGAGTTTTTATATGGTATGTGTAGCCTGTCTGCAATCCTTATTTATACACTCTATGGATTGCCACTTCAGTGCTACTGAGAGGTTGTAACAAGGATTAAGGTGTTGCCATTAGAACATATTGATGCTTCTTTCTCTTCCATATCTGCCTTCAGCTAATTGATTTAGTCCTCTAGTAAATAGGTATTTAGTAAATTTTTAAAGACAATCAGTTATTTAAAATTATGGATGAAACCTGGCTGGATTACTCTGTATGCGTATTTGTCCTATCATCTCTAGATACATATCCTGGATTGACTTAAACAATGGGAGGATTTGCAAGCTAGTGTGGATCTCCTGATTTTACTAAATCAGGAATTCTAAAATTGGATTTATGTGAACACGGTCTTCTTGCTCATAGATAAAAAAGCAGAGAAAAAGTGAGTGTATTGCTGGGATACAGCATTGCTGGCTTTTCTGCACAATTTCAAGATGTCATAGGTGCCCTAAAAACACAGGAATAACCCATGTAGATTGTATCTGATGGCTACAGCTGGTCACCCTGAATCCTGGCTTTGAGATGGGATTAGAGAATGGGAATGATGAGGTTTATGTCCTCTGACACACTCATGCCAGGGTGGATAAAAATCAATTATAATAAAAAAATAAAAAATAAATAAAAATCAGATTTTTAGTATTTTATTAAAAAAAAGTTTATCATTTAAAAATAACAGTTACAATTAAATCTCATAACAAACATGCTATACCTTCACTTACGGTCTCATAAAAAATGAATGAATGGCTCTAGTCTATGTAGCCTACCTACCAGCTCTTGCTTCTTCAAAGTTCTGGACTTTCAGTTTCTCAGCAAACTAAAGTAACATGTAAAGACACAGGCTGGATAGGACTGATTTTTGTTCTGTGCTGATGTGGTAGACCTGGACCAAGCACTGCAGAGGAGCTAGTTAAGACATTGTCTTAAAGACAGAGAGACTATAAATAGGAAAGGATGGAGGCAACATAGAAAGGAACACTGGAGTGGACTGTAAAGAAAAAGGGAAGACATTATTCAGCACACACAGCTTCCTATACCCTTTCTCTCTTTTGCCACACACACAAGGCATGACTTCTGGCAACAGAAGTCTTATCTGTGAATATTTTGAAAAAATTATTTCCCTGGGTAAAAAAGGAAAACATGTCAAGTGTAAACAATGCAAGAAGATGATGCAGGGCCTAGTCACAAGAATAAAACATCATAAGAAAAACTACTTTTTGGGAGAAAACAATGTGGATATGTCTGAAGAACAATATGGATCAGCTGGTTAGTAATAAAAATGTTAAATTTAGATTAATTAACTAATCGAATAGTCAATGGGATTTCCATCGACTATTCAATCAGTCAATAAGGACACCTCTGCCTTTGAACTGTTGGAAAAGCCCATCCCGCAGGTAGCATGGGACCCCTGTGGTGCTTCAACCTTTGAAATATACAGGAGTCCCAGTGGGGCTCTTGTACACTGCAAAAGGAGCACGGGGCCAGTGTGGGAGTCCCCTGCTGGCCCCATGCTCCCTATGGGCTTCTGCTCTTGTACATTTCAAAAGTAGAGTCTCTTGTACATTCCAAAAGCAGAATTGCAGCAGAACCAGCACGAATCGAGACTGCTTCAGTCCCCGCTCTCTCCATTTTCTGCTGTGCCTCTACCTCCTGCAGAGACGATGCTGGGGGGAACTGGATTTTAAGCCAGCTCCCCACAGCACTCCTGTTCCCCCCACTCCACCTCTATCAGAGAGAGGAAGCACAGGGGGAGGGAAGAGGGAAGCAACTTGTTGAATCACTAGTCGACTATCCAATAAGTTTATGCTAATCAGATAGTAGACTATTCATTTACATCCCTAGTTAGTAACTTAAATAATTCACTTTGGAATGCATCATTCTTCAAGATTCTTTCTATGCTTGTCAGAAAAGTGATTTAACAAATAAATTCCCAAGCTGTTTGCTATTTTGGATGCTACTAGAAAAAAAATTAGCTTAGCTAAACCTTATGGTTTGTTTAATTAGTTAACTAGGTGTATAATCCAACACCCATATATATAGTACAGAAAACCACAGTATAAGAAATCTAGAGTTGCCAGTTGCCACTTAGCTTTATTTTTTTTATTTTATATTACATAAAAGATACCCTTTTCTTGGAACATCATGGCCATAGATGATAATAGTGATGC